TTTTTTTGGACCTTTGAACTGCGAATACTTTGTCACGATGTTATATAGGTGGATGTTCCTAAAGCACCGGGTCTTGGACTTCTACTGGAAAGGGTTCATTACGATTTTTATGACAAAAGGTATAAACATAAATATATCAGTATTAGTTTTATGCTTGTTAGACAGGCATGCCAAAACGCACGAGCCGCTGACTGATTGGGGGCCCGAAGTAGAAGAACGCATAAGCAAAGTCAAATTTGATCTCATCACGAAGGAAATACTCGAAACGGAGCTGCGTCAACAATCGTAAGGGTAATGTATAGATCAACACGTTACATCATATCATCCATTGCAGAATGTTGCAGTGGCTAGCAGATCTCGTACATCACGATTTCTGTGCTGATCCTGAGGCAGAAGAACTTCCGAAGCAAACTTTCCTTACGATGGCTATCGGGAAAGCTGAGGAGGTATTGAAAAGTTTTGACCATTAACTTTTCAATTCTTAAGAAAAATGTGCCGCTAGCCGTGGTGTATCTTGTTATGGAATTCCGTGACCTTTGGTACACGAACTTTTCACATAGGTTCAAGGGCTAGTTGTTAGTATTCCAATAGAGTGAAGTGCGATTTGCTGACCTAGAGACAGAATCGAGAATGAAGAGCTAGAGCCTACTGATCTTTTTTTGAACCTTGTTTGAGAGGATGTAGGTTGCGTACTGTCAGTGTCATTTGCGCGACGGTGAAAGTGGTTAGAGCTCATTCACGTCGCCTTCCACTTCGAGTTTTTTTTACGTGCCCGCGGAAGTCTCTAACTGCCCGAACAATAGTTTCTACGGGTTCTAATATCAGGAACAGCCCTGTTTGCTTGCAGCATTGCTGCTTACGTGCTATCTGGTTAGAACTGCAATAGTTCGGTAGGTTGCTTTTTCAACGCCTACCGAACTATCGCAGTTTTTGACTTCGTCCAGGAGTCCTCTTTTGTGTTGTCGTCTTACTTTTTTATTCTTGTTGTCTTTTAGTCGGAATGCAGATATTTCAAAATTATTATGAGAATTTGGTGAGACAAGATTGTCGCTGCTAAAATGTCTTCCGCTTTCCGCTGAGTTCCTGCGTCACTGCCACTAATTCTTCTAAACCTAACCCTTGACTTATAGAACTCACCATTCTCAGCGATTGTGTAAATGAAAAATAATTAAAAAGTATATGCCCTCTTGTGCTCGTTAATCGATTGTGGAGATTAATTTATATACATGTCCAACGTAGAAAAAATGGCAGGAATGATTTGACAGTGCAATGAGCGTCAATTCTGGGTAGAATGTGAGACTGTCCTGTCACCATCTTTTTTCTATTTGGGCTATATCTCAGTGCAGGATGAGACACGATTGTTACAGGCAGCCAGAGAAGAAAAGACAAAGTCGACGGAAGATGTGGCAACTAAGAACGAAAGTGGTGATGTTGCGCATAGTTGTGATAATGAGGTTAGCGATTGTACTCAGCATCAAATCTTCCTTATTAGTTTGTTTTACTTTTACCGCTGAAGTCTAAAAAACAGGCCTTGCTGCCAAAGCAACATAGAACCTTCCTTTTTTGGTAGTCAAAATAACTCAAAATTTTTTCTTAAAGAGTGGACAGGCAAAATTAGAACTCAGATTTTGGCGGAGTTAGATAGTAGACCCCTCAAGTACACCGCAGCCCAAACCCCACCT